GTCTCCCATACGGCGTCTCTGAATTCCGAAACACTTGAAGCAATCTCTGAATATATTGCAGAGACCAAACCATCAATGGACACTGATCCACCCTCCGCTCCTTCTCTCTCCTCTGCTCCATCTGCGCAACTCCTTTCTTCACAGCGCACCGTTCCTTCACTGCTTGAACGTTTTCCACTGCCTACGCATGTGGATTTCTAACCCCTCTAGTCCGTAGGAACCCTTACCTGCGGATTTCAGGTATCTTTATCATTGCCAATCATGGCCTATATACAGTGGAATATACGCGGCCTCAGGGGTAATCGGGGTGAGCTTCAGATGTTACTCTCCCAGTTTTCCCCTGTTGGTGTTTGCTTACAGGAACCAAAATTACACTCTGCTGTTCTCTCTCCCATCTCAGGCTATAATTTATTGTATTCTTCAGATCTTTTTCCTGATGGGACCTTTAATGAAAGTGCCCTTCTTCTACGCACTGATATTCCGTACCATCAGCTATTTGTTCGTACTTCGCTGCATTACACAGCAGCCCGTATCCACTTGCATAGGTGGTATACGCTCTGTTCTTTATATCTCTCTTCTTCTCGGACATTATCTATTCCGGATATTGCCTTTCTTGTTTTGTCATTACCGCCACCGATTCTGTTACTTGGTGATTTTAATGCCCACCATTTCCTCTGGGGGGGGGTCTCACTGTGATTCCCGTGGCATTCAGTTAGAGGCTTTTCTTGCCACCCACCCCCTCCATGTTTTAAATACAGGTACTCGCACCCATTTTGATCCTCGGACTCTCACACACTCTTGCATCGATCTCTGTCTGCTCTTCCTCCGCCCCATTAGACTTCACTTGGTCTGTTCTCCCGGACTTACATCACAGCGATCATTTCCCAATCATTCTTACTTCCCCTTCATATTCACCACCTCTTCGCATCCCACACTGGCAATTTGATCAGGCAAATTGGAACCTTTACTCACACCTAACTGTTTTTAGAGAGGTTCCTTCTTCGTCCTCCATCTCGTCCTCCGTTTTAACCGCAGCTTCTCATTCTATACCCCAAACTTCGGGCAGGCATTCTCAGAAATGCGTGCCTTGGTGGTCTCCTGCTTGTGCTCGTGCAGTACGTTTGAAATGCGCTGCATGGGGCAGGTACCGGTACAATAGAACCACAGAGAGACTTCTTGATTTTAAGCAGAAGCGTGCGATCGCTCGCCGTGTCATCCGTGATGCTAAACGCACTTGCTGGCGAGATTGTTTCCACCATCACCTCTGCTTCCTCTGTGAGTGCAGTCTGGAAAAAAGTACGAAAACTGAGTGGTAAATATTCTCCTGACTCGGCTCCTGTTCTGCGGGTTGCCGGTGTTGAAATAGCAAACCCACTAGGTGTTGCCAATGAAATTGGCAATCATCTGGTCCGTATTTCTCAGGGACTCCATCTATGCCCCTCATTTCTTTCCTCAAAGTCTGCCAGAGAGTTAGCACCCTGGGACTTTTCTTCTCTCAGAGAAGAACAGTATAATGTGCCTTTTACACTTCAAGAACTGGAGGCAACACTCTCAGCTTGCCGATCATCGGCAGCTGGGCCCGACGACATTCATATTCGTACGCTACAACATTTACATCAGTCAGCCCTTGCAGTCCTATTACGCCTTTACAATCTTATTTGGTCACAAGGAGTTCTTCCACAGCTGTGGAAATCCGCCATTGTTCTCCCTTTCCACAAACCAGGCACTATGGGACATGAAACCTTCCACTATCGTCCCATTGCTCTTACCAGTGCAGTTTGCAAAGTGATGGAACGCCTAGTAAATAGACGTTTAGTGTGGTATTTAGAGACACACAACAGTCTCTCCACTTGTCAATATGGCTTTCGTAAGGGATGTTCTACCATAGACCCCTTACTACGCTTGGATACGTATGTTCGTAATGCCTTTGCAAATAACCACTCAGTTATTGCCATATTTTTTTACCTTGAGAAGGCATATGACACAACTAGGAGGTATAATATTTTAGCCCAAGCCCACTCCTTAGGCCTTCGAGGCAATCTACCATCCTTCCTTAAGAACTTTTTAACTGACAGGCATTTCCGTGTTCGGGTTAATAATGTGCTCTCCCCGGACTTTATCCAAGCTGAAGGTGTTCCCCAGGGATGTGTTCTGAGCACAACACTTTTTCTCCTTGCTATTAATGATTTGGCCTCTAGTCTTCCATCAAATATTTGGTCATCACTCTATGTTGATGACTTCGCTATTGCCTGTGCAGGCGCTGACTGTCACCTCATTACAGTTTCTCTCCAGCATGCAGTCGACCGTGTTTCCAATTGGGCCACCACACATGGGTTTAAATTTTCCAGCACTAAAACCCACCAAATTACTTTCACTAGACTCTCTGTCATCTCCGATCATCCTTTGTACCTCCATGGCTCCCGTATCCCTGAACGTGATAGTCAAGTTTCTGGGCCTCCTCTTTGATCGTAGGTTATCCTGGAAACCTCACATTACCTCTCTGAAGGCAACTTGTCACAGCCGGCTGAACCTTCTTAAAACCCTTGCTCATCTTTCATGGGGAGCTGATCGTCGAACCCTCCTTCGCCTACATTCCACCCTTATTTTATCGAAACTTGATTATGGTGACCATATCTATTCAGCGGCATCTCCTGCTACTCTCTCTAGCCTTAACCCCATTCATCACCAAGGATTACGTTTATGCCTTGGTGCTTTTCGCTCTTCCCCTGTCGAGAGCCTCTATGCAGAAGCGAACGTTCCATCCTTATCCGATCGCCGTGATGCCCATTGCCTTCGCTACTATGTACGCTCTCATGATCTCCGTAATCCTTCCATTTATAGAATGGTCACTGATATTAGTAGACATTCTGTATTTGTTCGCCGCCCCTGTTTACTCCGTCCCTTCTCTCTTCGCCTTCATTCGCTCTTGTCTTCTCTTCAATTACCACCTTTCTATGTTCATGTAGCATCTCACTTTTCCCTACCCCCCTGGGAAGTTCCAGCTGTTCGAGTCTGTTCTTTCTCTCTCCCTTGCTCGAAAGCCCAACTGTCTACGGTTGCTTCCCGCTCTTTTTCTTGACCACTTTCACACTCATTCTCATGCCATTGCTGTGTACACAGATGGCTCTAAGTCTTCTGACAGCGTAGGATTCGCAGCAGTGTTTCCGGACAGCGTCGTACGAGGGCATTTACTATCTTCGGCTAGTATTTTTACTGCTGAATTGTATGCCATCCTTGCAGCACTTATCTGTATTGCATCTATGCCTGTGTCATCATTTGTGGTTGTCTCAAGACTCCCTTAGTGCTTTACAGGCTATACAGAAATTTGATACACCTCACCCCTTAGTCCTCTGTATCTAACTTTGGCTATGCCGTATCTTTACCAAGCATAAAGATATTGTTTTTTGTTGGGTCCTTGGTCATGTTGACGTACAGGGCAATGAACAGGCAGACACTGCTGCGCGGTCAGCAGTACATGACCTACCAGTTTCATATAGAGGTATTCCATTTACGGACTATTTTGCTGCAATATCTTCCCACCTTCACACCCGTTGGCAACACTGTTGGTCTACTATGCTCAGCAACAAACTTCAGTCTATTAAACCAAGTATAGGTTACTGGCCGTCTTCTTATCACCAGTGTTGAGGTTGGGAGACTACTCTCTTCCGTCTTCGCATTGGCCATACTCGTCTTACTCATGGATATCTCATGGACAGGCGCCCTGCTCCTCTCTGTGAGAATTGCCAAGCTCCATTATCAGTCAGCCACATTCTGTTGGACTGCCCACTTTATCAACGAGCATGCAGAATTTACCTCCGTCGTCGTCTTCGCTCCGCTGCTCTCTCTTTACCTTCCCTTCTCGCTGATGGACCCACCTTTCATCCGGACTCTCTCATTGACTTTTTGACAACAACTGACTGACTTTACAAATTCTGATACCTTCAGTCCTTTCTACTTCAATCTCTTGCTACCCTCTACCCCCGTACTATCCCCTGCCCCGCTGTTTTCTGTAACCTACTGATCATCCCTCCTCCCTTCTGCCATCCAATACCCTCGCTTCCTTCCCTACCCTGCAGCGCTGTATAGCCTTTGTGGCTTAGCGCTTCTTTTTGATTATAATAATAATAATCTTCGCAAAAACTGAAAACAAATGTCAATAACTTATTCCTGAGTTATTCATATTTTTGTTTTCTATAAAAAACTATGGACACGGCATGCCAAATCTGAGCATGTTGTAAACCCCTATCCTTGTTGATGGCCCTTAGGCTATTGAGCCACAACCACTCCATGCTCTTCACTTTAGTCCTCACAAAAGTTGCCATGTTGAGTATTTAGAATGAAAGTCATAAAAATTGTAATTTTTGGAGTAAAAAAAAAAACTAATTGCCAACATGTCCTCTTGATAACAGCAAAAAAAAAAAAAAAATACATTTTTGGAAAAACATACTTAGAAATATGATGGAAACAAGCTGATTGCATGAACATGTTCCCAGAATTATGCACTATTTTTTGGTAAGAAAACATTATTTTCCATAATTTTTCAACTTCAATTTTCTTTTTTCACTCCAAAATAATGCCTTGGCCCCTTTAGCACTCCCCTCAGTCATTTCTACCTGAATCTCTTGCTACCCTCTACCCCCTGCACTATCTACTGCCCCTCTGTACCCCATAACCTACTAATCATTCCTCTCCCACTTGCTTCCCGATACCCTCACATCCTTCCCTGCCCTGCAGCACTGTATAGCCCTTGTAGTTTAGCGCTTCTTTTTGATAATATTATTATTTACAAGATATGAGTTTCTTATGCCAATTTAAATATATCCAGAATATTTGCCCTTCATAGCTTTAGTAGTTATATATAATTTATCTAATGATGCACACTTTATATTTTTTTTTTTAAAGTAATGTAAAGTAGAAACATATAAGACGTGTGGGGTCTCCTGTACTTTGTCAGAATTGATCAGTTATCTTTGTATTAATTTTTAATGTTTATTTTACAGTACTATGACAAGGAGTGGACTTTATGGGATAGGTTTGAAGTTAATGGTGAAATGACTCTTGAAGAGTTCATTAGATTTTTTGAGGATGAGCACCAGTTGGAGATTACCATGTTGAGTCAGGGGGTGTCAATGCTCTACTCCTTCTTCATGCCACCTGCCAAGAGAAATGAGAGGATGGCTCTGCCGTAAGTCAGAATGCTTTTTGTTATTAACCCTTTGAGGGTCCAAGCTGTAGATCCACGTCATGAGCTCAGCTCGCTCAGATAAGCTGTGAGCGGTAAATTTGGGTCTAGATATGAGAGAGTGCATCTATGTGGTAAGTGTGTACTATATAAAATAAATCCTGCAGCACAGTGCATAATGAGGAAAAAAAGTGTGACTGTTTTTTGGATTAAAACACTGACTGGTGTATTTTCGTGTGTTTTTTATGGTTGTATTTACAGTTTCTTGGTCTCATTTCATAGAATGGAAGATATATTACAGAAATTGAGATGATTTTGATAGGTTTTAGTACTGAAGATAGCTTGAAATCGAGCTCAAAGTAACAGAAATATTCGATTTTTGCCAGTGTTCTAAGAAAACCCAAAAAGAAAGAAAAAACTTTCATCATTCAAAACTTTGACCATCACTCGCACATAATCACTGTCTTTGCAGAGGCGCTCAGACACCACTCGGCTTATCTGAGCTTGTGATGTAGGTCTACGTGATGGACATTAAAAGGGTTAATTTCCACCAGTGTCCCCAATTTTATGTTTCTTGCCTCTCAAAGATCCTATGGGTGTGTGTGTGTGTGTAGGGGGGATTGCATACATACGTGAAATAAGAGATTTTTGAAGTTAATGGTAATACAGTACTGTAAATGTATGATGATTTCCAAATGTGACAATGAAGATTTGTAATGAAATTTATATGGTAGAAGCAGCACCCATTATTGACACTGAAATAGGAGCACAAAATCAGGATGATAAATTTATTTGCTGGATAAGGTTTTGGTCTATTTCAACCTTGCTCAACAAGGCTGAAAAAGTACTTTGAAAGTAAGTTAAGAAGACAGATTTAGCAGTTTGTTTCATGACTTTTCACTTTAATAAAATACACTACAGCATGTCATCCAAATAAATCATTATAAACTGATACAATGCAAGTTAAATCATCACTGCCATTTCTAATCAGTTTTTTTTTTTCCCAGAATGTCAGAAGTGGTTAAAAAAGTAAGCAAGAAGAAAATAGAACCTCATGTGAAAGCTTTGGTGTTGGAACTGTGTGCCAATGACAAGGATGGAGAAGATGTAGAAGTTCCATATGTGAAGTACAATTTACCTCAATAATCTTGTGTTCTTAGTGGAAGACCCAAGCATTTTACTTCAGGCCTATAGAATGGGAGTTTCCCATTAAAGTTCAACTCGGAGCCAGCCTCCAGGATGTCAAACGTTGACGACTTATACTGGTTTAATAATGAAGAGTGGGAGCTACCGTTATCTCCATTCTACAAGGCTAATGTTTTCAGAAGGTTTAAATTTATTCGTTGTTAATACCTGACTCAGTGTGAATTAAAATTGAAACTAAAACCTTCCTAGCAGAAGTTCTTTTACAAACAGTGAAGACGATAACTGAAAATTCATTACAAATGAAATTTCTATGAAATTTCTTTGCAATAGAAGTTTCTGTGATCACATAAATGTAGAAAAGGAATGACTGGTGTACCATACGTCTTTAACAGTTGCCACTATAGTGAGGTTAGCAGTGTGAGAGCACTTGCATAGTTTATGAAAATGAAAGGGTTGATACTGAGTATCATTATATTGTGCTAATGAAAGTGATTATTTCATGAACACAGATCTGAAATTATATACATTTACTAAGCTTTGTTTCCAAATCACTTTGTGTTAATTTTTATAGGTGTTTCATGGTGATAATTTTTTTATATGTAAATAATACCTTTGTAGAAAACCCTTAAAAGGTCTATGCACACCCCACTGATAATGGTATTAATTTGTAAAATTCTTTAAAATGGGTTTGCTAGCATAGAGTTGTATACATTTACAATCACCTAACACCTGAATCTGTCGCAAAGCTGAAACATTAGTGTTGACTGACATTGTGTAAGTTTGTTACACTTCTTGGCCAGAATTGATGCTGAGAGGTCAGTGTATCATGCAAGATGGCTTCAGAAATGTGGGTGTATGGGGTGAGGAACTGTGATGCAGAGTTCCGAGTAGGTTGGCTAGCATTGAGCATCAAAGCAACTAATGTTCAGTTACACACATTAAAAAGCTTTGTGAAGCTTGTAAACTTTTTAAGGATGCAGTTATTTCTTAACTTTTGTATGTGAAGTGAAAGCACTTGACAAAATGTCTGTTGGAACAATCTAATGAACTGAACTAGTATTTCCTTATTTTGCAAAATTCATAAAGCAAGTGTTGCTTAATTTTAAGTTTCAGCTCCACTTTACACCAGTGATCATACTAGTAAACTGTGATTCTACTAAAGTTTTATTTTGCTATTCCTATAATATACATTTAAAAGTATTCATAATTCTTCCGTTACTGAACTAAATTAACCCACAAGAATTTTTTTTTTTTCCTTAGGTCATGGCATTTCAAAATTAACAGGGTGTCTGTAACGACTTCAGGGAAACATTGTCTTGACATTAGCAATTAAATTTTTAAGCTGATACGGGTTATTTTTAACTGGTATTTATATATTTCTTGTTTTCATTTTTTAGTTTTACTTATGGTATTCTAAGTGTTCTGTATTTATTTTTTAGTGCCAAGAGCACTTATCTCGTATGTCAAAGTGTTCTTCAAATCTCGAATCTTTCTCTGTAGTTGGAAGATGGTCTGCAGAGTAATACTTGACACTTTCCTTCTGGATGCAGGAAGACATGATAATTTACTGCTAAAAAAGTGTTATTACATATAAACTATACCAAACTGCTTTTATCAAACCACTGGTGATGCACAGTAGCAATGGGTCAAAATAAAATGCCTTGAGTCTTCAGACATTTTATGTAATTCATTAAGGTTACTAAAACTGCTTCATAAATTTGAATGTCACAACACCAGTAATGTACGTTACATTGTACAAATAATTTAAAAATATACAAATGGGGAAAATAATTAAAATGAATTTTGCCTAAGATAACATTCTATTATTAATATCTATATCTTTGGTCTTAGTATGACTACCACCACTCCTTCAGGCTTGACTTTTTTTTTTTCCTCCTAATTCCTGCAAGAGTACCTGAAATATTTTTTTTGGCTCCCATGGTAATGCTTAAGGCAGGATTTTTCTCAAGCTGTACCTTGATGCTAGTGAAGGGCTCGTGATTCAAGGAACTAAATGTTTATCATTCCCTATGCATAATACAACCACTAAGGTTTCAACACCTCCCCAGTTAAAAGAAAATTGACAAGGCAGGATTGACCAAAATGTCTAAACTTATGAACTTTCACTTATAAAAAATATCTGAGTTCACAAAGCTTTTTCTCTGGATTCACTGATTTATTATTTCAAAGCAGGCTTAAACAAGTGATTTTTTGACATCATTTAAACCATTCTCTCAGCACTGAACACTATCTTGCAACTATGACCTCTCAAGGGATCTTCATTGAGGCCTGTGAATGGCTCATGATCCAGGGAATTTAACTACTGCCTACCAATCTTGGGCACTACATGACCCCTATGGGTTTAGTGCTTCCCCCATGAATTTGATAACTATACAAAGATAGCAAAAATGCTGTGATCTAACAAGTTGAAAGGGAAGGGACCAATGTTACTATCAGGATTAATAATTTTACTATACAATATATTTCTTGCATGGGGCAGTTTGGGATAACATTATAGAATGAGAAGCAGTGGGTATACTGAAAAGGGGTAAATTGACTGGGATAGAAGAGTAAGAGCAGGTGGGGATGCAGTGTTGGAGTGGTTGGCAAGTTTGTTAACCCTTGCTGTCCAAACGTAGATCTACGTTCATGTGCGTAGCGTTCCGACCTAGATTTTTCCCCATTTGAAAGCGTGTAAAAAAAAAAAATCTACGTTCAGAGCCTGCCGCATGTCAACATATATCTGTTTGGACAGTTTAAGGGTTAAACAATACTGAAAAAAAAAGGAAGGTACCAAGAGATTGGTAAAATGTATACAGTTTTTGTATAAGGGAAAAGGGAATTTTTTTTTTTTTTCAACAAACTATCTGTATTCCACTCAAAGATTATCTTTAAATTAAGCACTAAACCCATGAACATTACCTACAGCACTGGGATGAGGGATGTGCAAAAGTAGAAATGAGCAAGTAGTAGGGTTGTATAAAGTTCAGAGTTAGTAGGGGGGACAGTGTAAGCAAAATTAAAATCAAAGTTGGTACAATGGGTTAATTTTAGTTAAAAAGCCAGTCTGTGCCAAAGATGGGACTTTTAGCCAGAGACAAGAGAATGTAATTATTGGGGGAATATGCCCACTGAGTATATTGGGATAAGTTTATGGGTATTTATTAGTGAAAGGGTTAGTAGTAAAACAAAGATCTATTGTAGAGAAGTGGGAAAGATTTAGGAGGGGTAGGGGATGTGTAGATCAGGCATTTACACAAGCATACAAGTGAGCAGTCCCCTCAAGGGAGGTTCCTTAATGCTGGTGAGGGGGTCTTGAGCTAGGAAATTGGATCTGTGCTCCAATTTCCTGAATGCCTTCCATCTCCAAGGTGCTGTATAATCCCTATGGATTTAGCATTCTTGTGATAAGTGAACAGTACTTAAGGAGCTGTTTGATGCATTTATGGATTCAGTTCTGGAGTGGGAAAGGCAGGGATGGTGCAGTAACCTAATTACAATGTCATTACATTTCTGGAAAGTTTGATATTGAGTTTTTTTTTTTTTGGGGTCACCCTGCCTTGTTGGGAGTTAAAAAGCCTTTTTTTTTTTTTTTTGTTCAGCCAAAGCATTTTCAGCCTTCATGATTGGAATTACTCTTGCCTACCTTGAATCATACCTGGCTACCTTACATTCTCAAGGAGCTGCATAATCTTTACTATAAATTTAACACTACCCAAGAATACAGTATATAGATTCGTTGACTAAACTGGAAAAAAAAAAAAAAACTGGACAACCAATAAAATAAATTTATCATTTACACAATTTTATTAAATCCTAAAAGAGGAAACTAAAAATTGATGTATTGTTTAAGGAGCCTTAGCACTGTAAGACCCTTTTGGATTTAGTAAACTGATAATTTAAGAAGCCTGATACTTTTACAATATCATAGTCACTTATTAACAAATTATCACTTTCAGAAGAAAATTTCCCTCAGAACAGGGGTGGAGGGTTCTTGATCCAAGAAAATGGATCTGAACTGAACACTATTACCTCCACTTACCCCAGGTGCTGTGTGATCTATGGGTTTAGCACTCCATGAATGTAATAAATTGACCAATTAAGTCATAACACTCAACACATTATTAGAAACTGTGGCTATTTTAATTTACTGAAAGTCATTGGGAACATAATCATGGAAATTTAGATTACATTACTGAATACAAATGATAAGCACTTGGACTGGGAAGATTATTCAATGCTCTGGCCAAAACAAAAATCACCACTACCATACAGAACAGCACTGTAGTAGTATATACTATTCAATCTTAATACTGTATTATTATTATATTAGTCTTTTGAAATAACTAATACCAAAACAATTTCATACTAAAGCTATAATATAACCTTAAAATATTTTTGTATAGTGAAGAGTGTAGTGACTGCTGCATATAACTGAAGTGCATCACTGATGAGTCAACATGGCTGACAGCTACAGCAAACGTTCAGATCTGCAGAGTAGAAAAAGAATTAAAACATCTTTTACCTATTTACATTAACAGAATTTTTTTAAGAATATAGACTGCCAAAAAGTGAGGTATGAAGGCAAACAATATTCAGACCTGAGAGGACATTGTCAGTTTCAATATCATTAAAATATAATACGTATTATTATACTATTTAGGGAATATTACTAAACCCATAGAAATCATATTAATATAATAAAATTAAACAATAACCTGAAAGGGTCAGTCCTGAAGGTAGGGGTATGTGAATGGATTATTATAATCAAAAGTCCTAAACCCACAAGGGTCAATGTGAATGGAGAAATGTGCAAAGATGACGAGGGAGTGAAGGGCAGGAGTGTGCAAGGGCAAGGGTTGGAATAGGAAAGTGTGAAAGAGGAAAATTGGTGCAATAAGTAAGTTTCTATTAAAAAGTCAAAGAGTGTCTGCATCAAAGTTGGGATTTTCAGCAACGAAATCTTAGTATGATGAGGCCACAGAGACAATGAATTGAATTCTACGTGCTCACAGACAGGCTGTACAATCTATAAAGATAGGGTGAACTGACAGTCCTTGCAGAATGATGCCAAGCATTTTTCCATGATGTGTCCAGGAGTAAGCCTTGTAGCTGATGCACAGAAGGGAGGCTGCAGTCTCCCAACCACAACAGCAGTGGGAAGATGGCCAGAAATCTAACCACTTACAACAACATTGTTGTAAGTGGCTGCAGAGTTGAGAGATCACCAAAAAATAGTGCGGGTATGAAATACCCGTGTGAGAAAGTGAGAGGGTGTGAACAGTTACCAAGTGACTGAGTCAGCTTGTTTGTTAACCCAAACATCGATGTGTCCAGAGACCCTGCAAAAACAGAAGTCTTTGCATTTACTAGATTATTATTATAATAAAAAAGAAACACTAAACCTACAAGGGTCATACAGTGCAGCAGGGCAGGGAAGGGTGCAGGGGTATTGGGTAGCAAGAGGGACAGGGATTATTATTAAGTCATGGAGTGCAGCGGGGCAGTGGACACTGCACGAGTTGAGGGTAGCAAGAGATTGAGGTAGAAAGGGCTGTGAGGAGTGCTAGAGGTATCATCATCAAAGTTTGTGCAGTAAATCAATTGCTGTCAAAAAGTCAACGAGAGTGTCTGGGTTAAAGGAGGGTCTATCAGCAAGAAGGGAAGGTAAAGTAAGGGCAATAGAATGGTAAAGACGGAGGTAAATTCTGCTTGCTCGTTGACTGAGTGGGCAGTCCAACAGAATATGGCTAACAGAAACTGGAACCTGGCAATTCTCACAGAGTGGAACAGGGCACCTCTCCATGAGATACTGTGAGTAAGACGAGTGAGGCCAATGCGAGGAGAGAGTAGTCTCCTAACCTCAGATCAGACCAATGTTGTTGCCAATGGGTGTGAAGGTGGGTAGCAATTATAGCAAAATAGCCTGTGAATAGAACACCTCTATATGAAACCGGGAGGTCATGTACTGCTGACCACACAGCAGTGTCTGCCTGTTCATTGCCCTGTATGTCAACATAACTGGGGACCCAAAGTTGGATACGAAGAACCAGGGGATGAGGTGCATCAAATTTTCTTACAGCCTGCAAAGCACTAAGGGAGTCTGAAATGACCACAAATGGTGACAAAGGATTAGATGCAATACAGATAAGTGCTATGAGAATGGCATACAATTCAGCCAGAAAAATGCTAGCTGAGGATAATAAATGTGCTAACACGATGCTGTCCGGAAACAGTGCTGCGAATCCAATGCCATCAGAAGACTTGGAACCATCAGTGTATACTGCAATGGCATGAGAATGGGATCAGAAGTGGTTAAGAAAAAGAGAACAAGAAGCCACCATAGGCAATTGGGCTTTCATGCATGGTAGTAGGAAAGAACAGACACAAACCGTCGGAATTTCCCAAGGGGGTTGGGAAAAGTGAGATGCTACATGAATACAGAAAGGAGGTAACTGAAGAAAAGACAAGCAAATGTAGGCAAAGAGAAAAGGGACGGAGTAAACAGGGGCAACAAACAAATAAAGAATGTCTACTAACATCAGTGACTATCCTATACATGTATATGGAAGGATTGCGGAGGTCATGAGAGTGAAGATAATAGCGAAGGCAATGAGCATCACAGCGATTGGTCAAGGATGGAATATTCGCCTTTGCATAGAGGCTCTCAACCAGTGAAGAGCGAAAAGCAATAAGGCATAAACATAATCCCTGGTGATGGATGGACTTAAGGCTAGAAAGAGTTGCAGGAGAGGCCGCTGACAATATCTAGTCGCCATAATTGAGTTTCAAGAAAATTAGGGTCGAGTGTTGTCGAAGGAGAGTTCTATGATCAGCCCTTCCCCCATGAAAGATGAATGAGGGTTTTAACCCTTTGATTGTCGAAACCCCAAATCCTGAGGCATCTCCTGGTGTCGAAAATTAAAAAAAAAAAAAAAATTGATGGAAAACTGATGGAATTACGCTCTCGCAAAGTTAGCAACCTCAGCGATATTTACGAATCGGTGATTTCACCCACTTTGAGCCCTATTTTCGGCTAATTCCATTGTTCCAGTCAACCAAACTCATAGCTATTTCTCTAGAGCTCCATCTTTTCTATTGATTGAGTACAAGAAACTGCCCATTTACCAATTTCAACTACCCAATAACATGGTTAGAAATTTGTAATTAGGCCAATTTCACGAAAATTAAAAAATGTGATAATTTCAAAATAGGGTCCAGAATGAAGAATGCAGACATTCTTGGCTCTAAAATAACATTTTTTGTTCATCAGTCACGTCTCCAGGCCCCTCTGATATTACTCTTGCTTTCTATTTTGAATTTTTATTCAAACAAAAAATAGAAGATTTACTCTTATGCAGACTACTGCAATATTGTAATAATTGTATAAATAATGTCAACCCATTCATGACTTCATATCAGAATGGCTACTTGGACATTTATTGGACAATGGCATCATTTGTTTACTTTTGAACATCAGCAAAAGTCAAACATTTTCCCTACTTTGAACTCCATTTCAAGGTTCTTTTCATAGTAAAACCAATCAAAGTCACCTCTATTTCTATAATATGTTTTCCATTCTATCAAATGAGATCAAGAAAACGAGAATACAACCATAAACACTATATGAAAACAGACCACAAATTCAGCATGCTGCAGGATTTTTTTATATGGTGCACACTGACCACACAGACCCATTCTCTCACATGTGGGCCTACCAGCTTTCTCCTGCTTGATTTGAAGCTGCTAGAATTTATGAGTATATATACGTCAAACATGGTGGCTCATAAGACGTATATATACGACCTCAACAGTCAAAGGGGTAAGGAGTTCAACCGGCTATGACAAGCTGCCTTGAGAGAGGTAATGTGAGGTTTCCAGGATAACCAACGGTCAAGCAGAAGGCCGAGAAACCTGACTGTATCATGTTCTGGGATACGCAAGCCATATAGATACAATGGATGACCAGAGATGACAGACTGTCTAGTGAAAGTGATTTGGTAAGTTTTAGTACTAGAAAATTTAAACCCTTGAGTAGTGGCACAATTGGAAACACAGTTGACCACATGCTGGAGAGAATTGACAATGAGGTGAAAATCAGCACCTGCACAAGCTATAGCAAAGCATCAGCATAGAATGATGACCAAATACGTATTAGATGGAAGAATAGATGCCAAATCATTTATAGCAAGGAGAAAAAGTGTTGTGCACATAAAAGAGAGAAGCTTACGACTACGTTTCGGTCCGACTTGGACCATTTACAAAGTCACACTAACCAGAAGTGGAGCAGGACGGCTATATATAGGCAGGAAAAGGTGGTGGTGGTAGTAGTAGTAGTAGTAGTAGTACAAGAATGGTATATAATAATACCGACAAGATGAAATTAAGACACGTGCGCAACACCCGGGCATCCCTATCGTAGACGTTTCGCCATCCAGCCAGCCACTGGATGGCGAAACGTCTACAACAAAGACAACCAGACGCCGCACATGTGTCTTAATTTCATCAGTAGTAGTAGTAGTCGAAGAAGAGGTAGTAGTAGTGGTAGAAGTGGGGAATAAGGAGGATGAGCCAGTCAAATACAAAGGAAGGGGAGCATTGCAAGAGAGCTAGGTGCCCACAGAGGGAGAGCAAGCGCACAGAGGTGCGTGAAAGGGGAAGTGGTGAAATAAATGAAGAAGGAACAGAAACATGAGACAGAAGAGAGAAAGACAACCCAGAGGAGAAAAAGGAAAGAGGAAAGGGGAAGAGGGAGAAGAAGAAAAAGAAAAAATGAGGAGTCAGGTTAAGTCACGGGTGTTCTTCTGCTAAAACTGTCTTCCCTAACTTGACTCACGAAATCGTAATGACACGATTGCAAATAAACCATACCCCGGCCGGGATTGAACCCGCGGTCAGAGAGTCTCAAAACTCCAGACCGTCGCGTTAGCCACTAGACCAGCTAGCCACAATAAGATTCGTCCAACTAGGTATATTTCTACACCATAGGAAGGTTAGCATAGGCACCACTGTGACCACAAATGCAAGTTTTTACAGACGAATCTTCAGCTAGCGTGGCCGTGACGAACTCTAGCTCAAGTCCCCTCACTGCCGTCAACATGACTCATTACGATTTCGTGAGTCATGTTGACGGTAGTGAGGGGACTTGAGCTAGAGTTCGTCACGGCCACGCTAGCTGGAGATTCGTCTGTAAAAACTTGCATTTGTGGTCACAGTGGTGCCTATGCTAACCTTCCTATGGTGTAGAAATATACCTAGTTGGACGAATCTTATTGTGGCTAGCTGGTCTAGTGGCTAACGCGACGGTCTGGAGTTTTGAGACTCTCTGACCGCGGGTTCAATCCCGGCCGGGGTATGGTCTGTCTTCCCTACTTCCAACTCGAACAGTCGCCGTCTAGTTGAATCCTCTCTTATACACAACTTTCCTTGTATGAATCTTAGCCCTGGCTTCGTCTCTGTAGATGCCTTCCTCTCCCACTACATTGTAAAA